AGCAGGTCAAAGTAGAACATCAACGCCCAGGGGGGTTGCTTCAGCCCTTACCGATTCCAGAATGGAAGTGGGAACACATCACCATGGACTTCGTATCGGGACTACCCAAGGCACGATCGGGACACGATGCCATATGGGTAATTGTTGACCGACTCACTAAGTCTTCCCACTTCCTGGCCATCAGAATGACTGATTCGTTGGACAAATTGGCAAGGATGTATGTCCGGGAAATAGTCAGACTGCATGGGGTCCCAGTAACAGTGGTATCCGACAGGGATCCCAGATTCACTTCTCGGTTTTGGAATAGTCTCCAGCAAGCTATGGGAACAAAGCTGTCCCTTAGTACTGCCTTCCACCCCCAAACCGATGGACAATCAGAGAGGACAATCCGTACGCTGGAAGATATGCTCCGAGCTTGTGTCCTTGACTCCGGAGGCCATTGGGACGACCATCTACCCCTGATAGAGTTTGCCTACAACAACAGTTACCAAGCAAGCATCGGCATGGCCCCATACGAGGCGCTATACGGTCGTCCGTGCAGGTCACCGATTTGTTGGGAGGAAGTGGGCGATAGAAGATTGTTTGGCCCGGATTTGGTGGAAGAAACCACGTCCAAGATAGTTAAGATCAAGAAGAACATCCAGACGGCTCAGAGTAGGCAAAAGAGCTATGCTGATACCCGGAGGAGAGACCTGGCCTTTGAGAAAGGTGACCGGGTGTTTCTTAAAGTCACCCCCTTCAAGGGAATTAGTAGGTTCGGCAGAATGGGAAAATTAAACCCCAGATACATTGGACCCTTTGAAATCTTAGACAAGATTGGTACCACTGCCTACAGACTTGCACTGCCCGCTGAGCTCTCCCGGGTTCACAATGTGTTTCATGTATCTATGCTGCGCAAGTACAATCCGGACCCTTCTCATGTCGTGGCTCATGAACCGCTTTCACTCCGAGAGGACTTGTCTTATGAAGAAGTACCGGTCAGTATCACGGACCGAGAAAGCAGAATACTCCGTAACCGGGAAATATCATTTGTAAAAGTCTTGTGGCAGAACCACACGCCTAGGGAGGCGACTTGGGAGCTGGAATTAGAATTTAGGGCCCAATATCCTCATCTGTTTGATCAAGAGTAATGAGGCAAATTTGGGGACCAAATTTCTTTATGGGGGGGAGAGTTGTAGCACCCGGAAAGGAGGAAAAAAAAAATAAAAAAAAATAAAAAAAAATAAAAAAAGGGGGGGCCACGTCAGCAGCCACGTCAGCAGGCCCGGTCAGCAGTCCCGGCCAACCAGGGCCTGCCACGTGGCAAGATCGCGTCACTCCGAAAGGAGCCACGTTGGCGATCCGCGTGGGTGCGATCCGACGGCCCAGATCAATCGCGCGATCGGACGGCCCAGATTCAAACGCACGGACGGCCCAGATTCAATCAAAAAACGAACGGCCCAGATTAAAACGAAATGAACGGCTGTGATCAAAAGGCAAGGGGTTATAAATAGAACCCCCACACCAGACCACAAACCCTAGCCGCCAGCCGCTCGCCGGAGAAGACGAACCAGAGGCCGACCGCCGCCACCCGCCGCCACTCGCCGCCGCACCGGGGAAATTTCCGATCGCCGATCGAGGTAAATTTCATACCCCCGACTCGTTTTTCCCCGCTGATTCCTCCTATGGCCAAATCGAGGCCGAAATCCTGGCCAAACGGCCGGAATACGCGGCCGAAGCCCAGCGGCGCCGCCGCGCCCCCTCTCGGTTTTTGCCTCCGACGAGGCCCTTCCCGGCCTCCGTTCGATGCAATTTTTATATCACCGTGATCACCATTCTTTTCTCTACAGGTTGACCGAAGCCAAATCACCAAAACACGAACCTCGCCGGAGAGTCGCCGTACCCGAGAGCGCCGCCGCCGGTAAGCTCCGCTTTTCCGTGATTTTTTGGCCCCCCGAGGGCCCTAGGGTTGTTTTCTGACAAGGACCAATGCGAGTGTGGCCGAATTCGGCCAAAAACGGCCGAAAACAGTCAACCCGAGGCGACTCGCCGCCGCCAGCGGCGGAGCCGCCGTGCCGGAGTTGCGATTTGGGCCGAAAGAGGCCCTGGGCCTAATTTGGATTTTTTTTGGAACACGTGCAGGTACTGTTAGTGTGTTTCAGTTCCCCGGGAAAAATTCAGGGAAAATTAGGGACAGCCTGCAGGCGCACTGTGAATCGTATTCGGATCCCGAAAACAAGTAAGGACCCCTCACCCTATTTCCTATCACGGTATTAAAGTTCAAAATGATAAAACGGTATTTCTTGAATTAACGCATGTGTGAAATTGCTTAAGGTTGCTAATGGAGCCCGAGTCTAGTGTGATTGATGATTTACTGTTATTTGGCCTGTTTTACACTGTTTTACAGCTTTAAATGCATTATGGGGTTTGATGTGTTCATTTTATAGTTTCGAATGCATATATTACTGTTTTATTAATTATGGGTTGAATGACTGAAGAACTGATACTGTATGTTGTCTGTTCGGCATGAATTACGATTTGTTTGTTTAAATGTGAATTGATGATGCTTATTGAGGAAAAAGGGAAATGAAACATTGTATAGACTGATAATTGTATGATGGGGTCAGCCTGACTAGATATCCTGGGAGATGGTGGACGGACCGGGTCCGTAGGGAACCCTACCGGGATTGTGGTCTCACATGCCGGACGGGGTATGGAGATCTTATGGTTTTGGCGCCCATACCGGACGGGGTATGGGGACGGCCCGTTTCACCCTCATACCGGACGGGGTATTGAGGTTTATGGTTTTGGCGCCCATACCGGACGGGGTATGGGGACGGTCCTCGAAACTGATTATGAATGTTAAAGGTTAACGGGTAGCGGAACCCCTATGGACCCTCACGGATACTAGTAGGCTGGTAAATGAGAAAAAGATATGTTGTACAATGATTGAATTACAAGAGGCGTGATAAGTGTTATGTTTTACAGCTTAGATTATTCAATGATTATGATGATGTTATTGTTTTTCTCATATTGTTTTCATAAATTCCACCAAGGTAAGTGGATGGTAAAGGTTTTCATGTTAATAAACGAGTTTGTTGTAAATTATGCTCCATTGGTCTTTTTGTGTTTTTCTACCCACCTTTATCTCCGTGACGGTGAGATATCGTGATGTTCTTACTGGGCTAGTGTAGCTCACTCCTTAATTAACCATTTCAGATCAGGAAGACAGGGTTCCCGAGCCCGTTCCGCAGGAGGACGACGAAGGGGATGCCTAGAGACTCTGTAGTCATACGCATAGTTTATTTTCGAGTTTTCTTTCTTAGTTAGTTTAACCTTTTATATTTTAAGTACCTTTTTGGTTTTCGTGTAAGGGATGTTAACTGAAATTTTGATCTCGCTTCCGCATTCGATATATTTAAATACTCATTTCTTTTTAATATTTTCCGGGGCCGTTATAGATAGAACCAATTTCAATGAACATATATAGAATTTAAGATTTTAATTCTTAAATAAAAACTTATTTTAAAAAAAAAACTCTTATATCGTTAATATTTATAAATATCATATCACACAAATAAAATAAATACATGAAAGAAAACAATATTGTAATTTAAAGTAAATTTTATATTCAATTTAGAATAGACAATATTTTAATTTAAATGGAGGAATAAAATTTTGTTATTTTAAAATTAAATACATGAATAGAATTAAAATGTCAAGATTATAATTAAATTATATTTTTTAAAAATTAACAAGAATATAATTTAAAAAGAAAAAAAAATTGACTAAATAATAATAATAATTTTTTAATATATATATATATATATATATATAAAAGAAGAAAGCTTTTTTAAAATGTAAATAGCATGAATGATCCTCCATCAAACGCCATCCAAAAACCACCAGAGGGGGTCAAGTCGGGGCTGCCTTCGCTTCCGTGATTAGTTGTTTCTTTCATTTTCATCAAAAGATCCAATCCCCCATTTTTCATTTTAGTGAATCTTCTTGTTTTCCCAAATCTCTACCTCCCTTTCCATTTTCTCTACAAGACTCCTTCGATTTCAAACCCTAGTCCGCCTTTTCGTACATATATTTCTCCGACGGGATACCGATTTCTGGTTTCCAATACCATCGTCAAGAACCTGTATATCAAAGGATTATGGATCGTTCTGTTAGCTAGTCGCTGAATTATTTTTTATTAGAAGATCGGAGTTTGTGTCTGGGTGGGTTTGTCGGGTTCGGGGTTGGGTTTGGATTCTTCTGAGCAGAGCAAATGAGTAATCAAAAGAAGAGGAATTTCCAGATAGAGGCGTTCAAGCACCGGGTCGTGGTCGATCCAAAATACGCCGACAAGACATGGAATATTCTGGAGCATGCAATCCATGAGATTTACAATCATAATGCTAGTGGCCTTAGTTTTGAAGAGCTTTACAGGTCTGCCCTCTGTTTTTTTTCTTTTTCTTTTTCCTTCTCGAAAAGAAAATATCTGTTGAGAATTTTATCCAATTCATTTGCACTATGTATTTCTTGATTCTTGTAAGCTCGATTTGGTTTGTTGTGTTACTTGTGGTCTGTTCATGGGAACAAACATTTATTCTCTTTTGTTAGGATTTTAAACGGTTGCAACCTGATTAAGATGTGTATATGGCGTATCGGTTTGAGTTGATTGGCAAGGTTGAGGATTATTACATTCAGCCTGATTAAGATGTGTATATGGCGTATCAGTTTGAGTTGATTCGCAAGGTTGAGGATTATTACATTTAGGATGTTGAAAGTAGTAGTATTGAACAAATTCGTGGTTGATGTTTTACTCTGTGGACTAAGAACATGCTTTTCAATTGCAAGTTATCCATCAAATTCTTTGGAAGGAAATGGGTTTTCCGTCTTGGTTGAGTGGGAAATATTGCTAATCTCTATAGTGATTGCTACAGATGGGTTTGAAGAGCGGCTCTTTTGCGCTATGGTATTTTCAATATAAGTTGGGGATAATGGATGGATTAACCGTGGTTACCAAAGTAGTTAAGAGGTAGATGGAGTAATATATTGATTGGTGGTACATAAGACTGTCTCAGTTTATTTGCTAAATTGTTCGAAATGATAGAAAAATTTACCTCAGTTTATTTTGAGAAATGCACGTATATGTTTCTCTTAGAAAAATAGTCAATATTTGATAATATTGTCTATGATAACATGGTTGGTTGCATGTGGAATAATCATCTTTAATTTTACCACAATCATGTGAGGCTGAATGTATATGCTGATTGCATGATATTGTCAGAAATATTATTGGTGTTAGTAATATATTCTATGAGTTTTACAAAAATATCATTAAAAAATAATTCTATGAGTTTTAGAAGTAAGGTACAGAACTCTAATGGTACAAAGATTTTTCCTCGTTTTATCTTTGTTGTAATGGGAGATTATCAAGGCCTATGCCAAGTAGTCTAAGCTTTCCTAAATTCTTTGTTGATTAATGTTATACTTAGATTATTATTTCAAAAAGATATTATAGTTACATTGTGGATTGTAGGAGGAAGGCGTATGCCAATGCTAATTTGTTTTTTGAGCATTCTAATTTCATGTAGTAACAGCATCTCACTTTTGCATACCATGTATAAGACTCATGCTTGTCAAAGTATCCATTTCATTGCTGTGCCTGCCAATGCTGTTTTGGCGCAAGCTGACTGGATTTATACCGTAGTTTTTTTGTGCTTTCTTACTTTGTCATAGTAGGAGTGTGTTGTTGGAAAAAGAGATAGAAATGCCAGACAGACATTTTCTTTATATTCTTCTATTCCTATTCATTTAATTTTTCTCCAGTACTCAGCAAGAATGCTTGAAGAAAGATCTGGAGAAGTCTCGTAAGATTATTTAGAAGTACAGAATGTTTTTACTATAACTATTATTTTTATATATGCATAGCACCCCTCGGTATCTTGTGAAGGCCTTCAAAAATAAAAAAAAAAACTTTTCTTTGAATTTCTCATTGTTATTGCATTCATGTTTACTGGACATCCTCCGCTGGCAAATTAAAGATAAATTTCAAATCTTCTTTATTTACTCAGAAAAATACTGTTTATCATAAAGAAGATTTGAAAATTTTCTTACTTGTGGACACGCATGCATGATTTTTTTTTTAACATGGATATTATAATTTGTGATATTTTTGTTATAATTTTAAACTTATGTCAGAAATGCCTACAATATGGTGCTGCATAAATTTGGAGATAAGCTGTACTCAGGACTTGTTTCAACTATGACTTCTCATCTCAAAGAAATATCAAAGTCCATTGAGGCTGCCCAAGGAGGTTTGTTTCTGGAAGAGCTTAACCGTAAATGGAATGATCATAACAAAGCACTGCAAATGATCCGAGATATATTAATGTACATGGACAGGACGTACATTCCAAGTACCCATAAAACCCCTGTTCATGAACTTGGGCTTAACCTTTGGAGAGATAACATAATACACTCCAGTAAAATTCAGACAAGGCTTCTAAACACACTTCTTGAACTTGTTCATAGAGAACGGACTGGTGAAGTCATAGACCGAGGGTTAATGAGGAATATAATTAAGATGCTAATGGACTTAGGTTCTTCTGTCTATCAAGAAGACTTTGAGAAGCCTTTTCTGGAGGTTTCTGCTGAGTTCTACCGTGGTGAATCCCAGAAGTTCATTGAGTGCTGTGATTGTGGGGAATACTTGAAGAAAGCAGAGAGACGATTAAATGAAGAAATTGAAAGAGTGACGCACTACTTGGATGCCAAAAGTGAAGTGAAGATAACTAACGTGGTGGAAAAGGAGATGATTGCAAACCACATGCTGAGATTGGTCCACATGGAGAATTCTGGCTTGGTAAATATGCTTCTTGATGATAAGTACGAAGATTTGGGAAGAATGTACAACTTATTCCGTAGGGTTCCCAATGGGCTCTCAACAATAAGAGATGTGATGACTTCGCATCTCAGGAGACAGGTAAGCAGCTAGTTACTGATCCAGAAGGTTGAAGGATCCAGTGGAATTTGTCCAGCGGCTGCTGG